CTGTAGTCCTACCCAGTTACATCATACCTTCACCTGTGCAGAACATCTGACATAATACCCTGTGACTTGCATCACTCCCCTTCTCCTTTTCCGACCAGTAATCGGCCCCGTCCCGTCCTTCACATTTCCTTTTTGTTCCCTTAGGTTTTTGGCAGCCAGGACGTTGCCTTTCAGAGGGAGGGGATAGTGTTACGGACTCCGCCAGGGCTCGACCCCTGGTCTATTTTGTTGCTGTTTTTGCTACATCCCGTTTTTGGCCTGGCACCCTTTTTCCAAACCCCTCCTTTGGTACCGTCGGATTTTGGACAACTGGCGCCATGCTACAATTCGGGCGCCACTTTCAAATACCGCATTTTTCAGTTCTGCACACTGACACTTATACCGGTTCCCCGTACAGTACGGGCAACCAGTCTCGTACCAGTTTCAGCTGTGTGACTTGCTCCTGTTTTCGGCATTGGGAATCCAAGACTTCGACTTTGTGTCCTTGCCACTGTGTCTGCGTCCGACCCTCAGTCGTGTCGAGTGAGTGAGTGTGTGTGTGTGATCTCCCTCTCTCCCTCTCTCCCTCTCTCCCTCTCTCTCCCCTCCCTCGGCTCTCCCTGTCTCCCTCAGCCTCGCGCTCGTTACATGGGGCCTACCGGAAGCTTCTGGGCGCAGGCCCAGCCCAGCCAGGCCGGAGCCCAGGCCAGACTCTTTCCATACAGGAAAGAGTTTGCTGCCTGGCAGCTCATTCGGCACTAGCTAGTTTGCGGCAGCACTGCTGGAGCGATTGCTCGCGTGCTGCTGCTAGCACTGGGGCAAGGTGCTGTGCACGTGCGGTCATGTAAGAAGAAGGATGCTGCGCACGTGCGGTCGTGTAAGAAGAAGGGTGCTGCTGTGGGCAGTGCCATAGCCCAGCTTCCATAGCTGGCTGGGCTTGGATAAACAGCAAGGCGCAGTGGTGGTCTTCGGGTGTACAGAGGGAAGACAAGGGAGACAGACGAGGGAGAGAGAGAGATAGAGATGAGGATGATGATGTGAGGGCTCATACCTGGTATTGGTGATGGTCTGCATTGGGCGACATCTTCATGTACTTCGGTGGCTGCTGACATCAACAGTTGCACTGTCAATTCTTAGGCAGACAGTAGTTGTGTAGTAGTCTGGGAGCCGAGCGCCAAGTAGGGGGAAGGGCCTGGACTCTTATGTTGGTGAAGACGACAGTAAGCTCTCATTGACATTCGGTTTCAGTGTTACGATTCTTCATTGGTGTATTATTGGTGCAATGCTACTTTCTGGGCGCTGGAACTTTCTGGCTTTCAATGTGATTGTGCAATCTGGATTCTGTCATCTCGCTATTGCTCATTTTCCTTGCAGATGTCACCCTACCAATTATATTGCAGGAGAATTGTTTGGGTTCTGTAGGTGTCAACCAAGATCCTGTAGTTGCGGAGACTGTGTTCGTCTGCAAGAAATCTTCCCACAACAGTTGTGCTTCTCTTTTTTTTTTTATAGCCCAGGTTGTTGTCAAGGCCAGGTTCCAGACATACAGTGGTCGCAGTCGTCAGTCAGCCATTGGTTGTCCTGACAATTTTTATTTGTGAGACTGCCAACGTACCCCTATTCCCACTATCCTACCTCAGTGTTAATCACTCAGGACTATCACCCTGCCAGGTGACTTGGACTCTGCTATGTCTTCCTTTTCTAGTCCACGGTTACCAAACTGTGGTGCCGTCAGGAGGGAAAGTGAGGGGGATGTCCACATTTTTCGAGAACCCTGTGGTGTCAGGGAGCAGTGTTGATGAAATTGTGACAGTGGCTTCGGTCTTCACACGAGTAGAATGTCTGGGCTTATCACTGGATCTAGACTGAAAGTTGCCCCAAATACAGCTATAGTGACGAGGTGTGCTATTCGGGTGAACACGGTAGGGGTATCTGAGGTAGAGGGTGACCTCGGGAGAAATGAGTGCGGAGAACTGAGCTGGTGGTGAGGCCTGCGTATAAGTTGGTTGTCCAGCAATCCGTCCTCATCATCTAAGTAAGAGATCAGTATTCTGTTCACAGCCCGCAGGATGTTCCCATCCTGGCACAGGTATTCGCCTAAAGGGTGAGGTTGGTTGTCCCAACGGGGCTCTGAACCTTCTTTTCTCTTTTCTAATCTATATATCTATACTTCTGAAATGAGCCAAGTACCTATACTTCTGAAATGAGCCAAGTACTCGTCAAGTTCAACCTCGCATACATCAATGAGCATTCACATGAGAGTTCACACGTGACAAGCCAAATCGAGATACAAAGATGTCATTTCCAAAATTATTATCAATATACAAGAATGTTTGTCTCCAGCGGCTCTGCCGCACACACACCCAATGGATCTCAACCAGATAGCAGCTATGGCTTCTCCCCTCTTCTCTCTCTCTGTTACATGCTGAAAGCCTACACACGGGCCCCTCACGGGACCCGAGGTTGGAATAGGGCCCCCAGGTCGCG